TGAGCCCCCTGGCTCAGGGCCCCTCACAGCCTTGTCTTGATTTCCTTCTGGGGTCAATAGGGAGAGGCGGCCTCATTAGCCCAGGGTTGTTGGCTCCTGAGGCCGCTGGGGCCTGGCAGGGCTGAGCCCAGGGGGGCCGTGCCCAGCCATGCGGGCGCTGGAAGACGGGTAGGGAGCTGAATGAGCCCTTTGAGAGGTGAGGAGGCCCTGGGCCCCGATGTTTGTGTACCAAAACACAAGGCTTTTCAACAGATGGGTTTCTTCGCCTTGTAACTTTCCACAGAGTCTGATTCCCTCGCATTTCAAAGACAGGAGTTAAAACACGTTTAAGTCTAGAGGAGGATCTCTGAGCAAAAAAAAAAAAAAAAAAAGAATGGTTTTTCCTTTTCCTTCCTCAGTGAGCAGTGGCGTAACTTTAGCTTCAGAAGTTGGCTGGGGGAAGTGGCTCCGTTCCTTTGTCCTAGCTGAGTGACCTATCAAGGTGAGCTTGTCCAAGGTGCCATAAGTAATTCAGCAAGCATTTTTTTGGGGGGTGCCAGGAAGCTCTATTTCCAGGGGTACCCAGTGGGAAAAAGCACCATCCCTCTTCTTAAGCAGCGAACGATATAAGATGAAGGATACAGGCCCACACGAAGCACCAAAGATGGGCACGGGGACGGGAGTGGAGAGCGTGGGAAAGCAGGACATTGACGTTGGCATTAGACGGGCAACAGGATGCTCAGGGTCCGATGGCTGCAGGTTGGAGGGGGGCGTGTGAAGAGAGTCGGAGCAGAACCAGGTGGTGCTGGTCCCAGGTGTCGTAAATCATTTGGTTGAGCTGGAGTATGGTGCCTACGCAGGGCACGGTGGTAATGGAGGAACAGGCAGAATGGGCGCGAGAAGGCTGTGCGCAGGCCGTGCTCCCTTCCTCCAGGCTAAATACTCCACATTCTCTGAGCTCCTTCTCTTTGGAACTATTTCTCAGTGTCGTAACGTCTTTCACAGCGTCTTCTCTGCTGTCTCCCTAGCCCTCCCCACGTCTCTCAGAGGTAGATGATTTCATTGAGGGAAAATCATCCTTATGCCCCACACACCCATGCCCCTGTGTGTCCCCCATGCTGTGGTGGAAAGGTGCACACACCAACCCAGACACAGGCCAGCTCAGGCGGAGGGGGTCAGAACAGCGTAGAACACGTCCACGTCACCGAAAGGGACTGCTGGCAGCTGACCCTCTCGCTCTCTTCACGCAGCCGTATCCAGCATGCTCCAAGGCCACAGCTCTGTGTTCCAGGCCTTGCTGGGGACCTTCTTCACCTGGGGGATGACAGCGGCTGGGGCAGCCCTCGTGTTCGTGTTCTCTAGTGGACAGGTGAGTTGCCCCGATTCGCTTGGCAGCCTCTGAAGACACTCCTCACAGCAGGGTGGCAGACTTGAGTGCCACCGGCCGCACCTCCAGGTTGTGGGTGACCTTGGTTCTCCGCCCTCTCGTTTTCCCCCCTTCTCCCCACCAGCCCTGGAGGGCAGGTGTCTACAGTTGAGGCATCACTTGCTTCTCTCCCGATTGGAGGGGTGTAGGAGTGAGAAGGCCGGTGATCGAGCCTCCGGCAGCCCTCCGCCTCATTTCCATCCCCCATGTGGTCTCTTTGAGGCCTGGTGCAGGTGATGCGCGTGACTGAAGAATAGGTTTGGGGTGTGACTGCCCTGCCCTGTGGCCTGGAGTTAGCTGGGATAGTAGGAAAGACCTTGGGGGAAAGGAAGGGTATCCGTTCCCTCTCTTTTACCCCAAACCCAGCGCTCTGCGCTCTGCGTTCCCTCTCCCACCCACTTTGGGATGAATACACTCAGACCTGCCTCACCATGGGCCTACAGACCCCCACCCACCTTTACTCATCCTTATGCCTCCACACACCCGTGCACCCCTATGTCCCCCATAACCCCACATCCGTCCCGCCACATACCCTGCATCCCTCCTACACACTCCACACACTCTCGTGCTCTCCCTCTCTCCCCTCCCCCACATTCCGCACACCCCACCCCTCTCCTCCACAGCCTGCGCCCACCTCCTATGCCCGAAATTCCTTTTTCCTCTTCGATCCTGGACTTCCCCTGTCCACAGTCCTAGAACGAGCCTCGGATAACTTGATGAATGCAGCCTTAGAAGTTGTAGGAGTGGCAGGTAGGTGAGTAAGTGATTTAAGATTTATTTAAACACGCTCTGAGGTGGCTCCGGAGCCGGAAACACGTCTAGGAAGTTGGCAAGCCAGGCACTCTGGTGTTAGAGACCAGTAAAGCAGGTATCGATGTCAGCAATAAGATCTGGGACCTCCCCTGCTGCCGTCCCCTCCCCTCCCCTCCCCAGTGGGAGGTTTGGAGCCTGTCGAGACTTGGAACTCGAGACACACAAGTAGTAACCCCCAGTCCCAGGTTACTACTGTCCACAGGTAGCGAAGACATTTGGAACCCAGTCCCTGAATGAGAGACCTTCAGCTCCAGGGAACGGCACCAGTTTGCCTAACCCTCCTCCCTGTTCGTGACAGCCACGCCAGCCACGCCTGATTTCCCTGGGTCCTGTCCTCGTGTCCTTTGGGGACAGACCAGGCCATGTTTTCACCTTCGCCAGTCTGTGTGTGTGTTGAAAGGGAGAGATCTGAGTTGCACTAGCTGGGGTCTAGCGGCCGAGCTGCCGCTGGGATCTGAGTTAAGGGCAGCGCTGCAGTGAGTAGAGCCTCATAGCCCCGTGTGGCCCTGGCCAGGCCTATGGGGGCTCGTCAGAAGGGGGAGCCATCACAGAGGGGCCCCCTTTTACTCTGGGGCTGCAGAACCCCTGATTTGGCTCGTGTTTGGGTAACCACCCAGGTCAGAAGAAGGAACCGCTGAGACCTTTTTCCATGTGGAGGCACATAGGGGTCCCCACGACGACCCACACGTTCGCTGAGACCTTTTTCCATGTGGAGGCACGTAGGGGGTCCCCACGACGACCCACACGTTTGCTGAGACCTTTTTCCATGTGGAGGCACATAGGGGGTCCCCACGACGACCCACACGTTCGCTGATTCACTGGAAGGACCCATGGGGTTCAGCATAGAGTTGTCCTCATGGCTGAGGTGAAAGGACAGGCCACGCAGTCTGGAGAACTGTGCGCGCAGGCTTCCGACGCCCCTCCCTCCTGCGGGGAGGCACAGAGTGCTCTGTGCCCCAGCAGTGAAGAAGGCAGTAACGCTGCGATGTGTCTGCCCAGGGACGCCCGTTAGAGACTCAGCCCCCGAGGTTTTTATTGGCCGCTGGCCACGTGGGCATGCTATATGCTGCCGCTCCAGAAATCCCAGACTCCCCGAAGGAAAGCATAAATCGCCTGGTTTGAAAAACAGGCACAGTGACCCACCCTATCAGTTAGGAAGTGGAAGGAACAGTCCCAATGCCAAGTTCCCAGAAGCCAGCCAAGGAGCAGCCTTGAAAGCAGGGCCTTCTAAGGGGAGTGGGCTCGGGAGGGCTGTGTTAACTCTTCCTGCACAGGTGCGCGTGAGAGATGGGAGGGGGCACGGCATGGGGAGACAAAGGCCACCGTAGCCCCGAGTCCAGAGGTGTACTGTCTCCCTGAGCAAACTTCAGTTTTCACCCGATTGAAATGGGGGCTGCGGAGAGGGTCACTCCAGTGAGATTGGAGACACTCAGACGTCTGCCATCTGCTGCTGCTACCAGCATCCATGTAGCCTCTCTCAGAATTTGTTTTCCTGATTTAAAAAGTCATGTTTCAATTGTAGGAAACTTGTAAAATATGGAAAAGCCCAAAGAAATAATTTTTAAAAAGTTTCTAATCCCACTTCTTAGAAAGGAAAAAAACGTTTGTTCAAATTTGTTCAGTTGTATTTGAATATGGATAAATATGTACATAATAGGGATCAAATTGTTTGTAATGTTTTGTTACCACCTTTTCTCACTTGATATCATAAGCATCCTCCTATGTCCCTAATTTTTTTTTTTTTATTACTTTGGTTACTTAAATGGCTATGTAATACCCGTTATAAAGATGTACTGCAATGTATTTATCCAGTCCCTAACTGCTAGACCATGAGGTCACGCCCTTTTCCCTTGCTTTTAGAAATAGCATTATGATGAACTCAAATCTTTGAGCGCACACTGATTCGTTTCTTGAAATAAATGTCTGAAAGGGAAATAACAGGCTTATCGACCTTAAAAAAAGTATAGTGTTTCTCCTCTGGAGGCCCACGTGAATGCCAGTACAATGATTTCACTCGACTTCTTTATTATATCGTCCGGTTTGATTAAATTCGTTGGTTAGATTAACTTGGCTTACATCCAGGAGTGCTTAGAAAAGAATGTCATTTGTATGGTTCTCTGGCGTCCAAACCTTCCATCTTCCCCAGAGCCATTCAGAGGGCAGAAGAGGCTGCCTGAGCCGGTAGCCTTAGCTACCCACACCTCAGTGGGAGTCTCAGGGATCGGGCGATCAATTCCTCGGCCTGCCCGAGATGTGTTCAAGTGGCTATCGATTCTATCCCTAACTTAGGCCACTTCCTTAAAAACAAAACTTTTACTGAAATAGGAGATGCATGTAGAAAAATGCATGTTTCATAAGTGTACAGCTCGATAATTTTTCACAAATGCCTGTGAAAATAGCACCCCCAGATCAAGCACTAGAATGGTGCCAACGCCCTCATCCCCCGTACCCCCAGCAGCCTTTTCAGGCTCCTGTCCAGTCACCACCCACACCCCCCACCTCCAGTTGAAGGGCAGCCCCTCTCCTGGTCTCCAATGGCAGAGAGTCGCTTTCTCTGTCTTTATACGTTGTGTGGGTGGAGTAATCCTATAGCATGTGCTCTTCTTTGGCCGATTTCACCCTGTTTATTTTCCAGTTTACTGAATGCCACTGCCTGACCGTGAGCTCCATTCATATACGTGTAGTGTGTGTGTTCTCATTGCCATATGGCATTCCATTGTATGAATGTGTCCTAATTGATGTATCCATTCTGCTGTGCTTGGTTTTTGTCTCTCACAAACAGTGCTGCTAAGAGCGTTTTTGTGAACGTGTTTTGTGAATTCGAGTATGCATTTCTGTTAGGTAATCACTCAGGAGTGGCGTCGCTGGGTCATAGGGTATGCCTACGGTCACTTCCAGTGGACGCTGCCATGAGTTTCCCAAAGTGGCTGTGCCAGTTTGCAGCCCCACCGGCAGCGTGGGAGGGTTTCGGGTGGTCTGCGTGTTCCTCTCCCACACCTGTCAATTTCCATCTCTTAGGCCAGCCACTTACTAAAGGTTTCTAGTCATAATTCACAGGGAGAGTAAGAGGCAACACATGGGCCAGTGCAAGCCATGCATCACACAGAAAGAAGACTGATTAGCTGTGGGATGGATGGAAGGTTTAAGACAAATTTTACCCCCTAGCTTTTGGTCCATGTTATAAAGGCTCAGGTCCAGGCTTCCAGGTGGGTTTGAAGACGCCGATATGGCCCAGTCTTTGTTCAGGGGGCTCTCCTAGGTGTTACGGTTTCCTCTCGTCCCACGAAACATCCCTTAGAATCTGAAACATCTTGTTTTCATTTTCAGAGGCGGATCTTAGATGGAAGTCTTGGCTTTGCTGCCGGGGTAAGTAGCATGTTATAGGAGGAACGTAAATGGAGACATGTTTGTTCTGACATTTTTCTGCCAAAGGGTATTCCCAGTCTCTCCCCATGTGACCAGGATGCATCATCGCTGTGATGTCCAGGTGCTAATGGCTCTCTCTTATCACCTGCTCTGTTTATTTCCATTGTACCGATGCTCTTGCTTCTCTATAGACAGTGAAAGAGGCTCGTTGGGCAGCTGCCCGAGGCCTTGCAAACTAAGATAATGTTTAGGAAAGGCCTCGCTCAGGGTTTTGTTGGCACAAATTAAACTTCTCTTTCTCTCCTCCTCTCCCCCCTTAAAAGACCTTTTATTATAGACATTTTCAAACACGTAAAAAGGTGGAGAGAGTCCCATGATGCACTCCACCTACCCGCCACTTATCCTTATTGACATTTGGCTAATCTCCTTTCATCCGTCTTTCCCCAGCCTTCTCGGGAGGTTGGAATCATTTTTAAGAGCAAATCCCAGACATCATGTAATTTCATCTGTAAATCCAATACACGTCTCTAACTGAATGGCATGCGATTTTAAGCACAATCGTCACGACATTATCACACCTGCCTAAATAAACAATAATTCCTTCCTTTAATCCAACACCCAGTCCACATTCAAATTTTCTCCATTTTTTTTTTTCAGAAGGTATCTTATAAAATGGTTTCGTTAGATCCAACCAAACAAGATTTTCATACTGAATTTGTGTGTCGTATCTTTTAAGTCTATTTTATTCTTTAACAGTCTCATTCTCCCCCCACCCCCCACCCCCATATGCTGGTAATTTGTTAGAGAAACTGGCTCCTTTGTCTGTAGAATTTCCCACATTTTGAATCGGACTGATTGCTTCCTGTAACTTGTCCCTCAGGCCTCCGTATCTTCCGTAAGTTGGGACTTAGACCGGGAGGCTTGTCTAAGTCAGATATCATAAGGGTGCCGTGTATCCCAATTGCGTCAGTCACAGCTAAAAGGCCCGCCATGTGTGGTTTTCCTTTTTGGCGGATCAGGATTTAGTTCCTTTCTCCTATTTTCATAGTCCTGTGATTTACAAACCCAGCCTGTGGCTGGGACGTCCCAGAGGTCCTCTCATTCAGCAGCCGTCACACCGGAGTCTGTACTTTTGAGAGCACGTAGGGACACACACCACGTGTCACGCAGGTGCGTGGATAGCGTCAACAAAATCGATTTCCAGGTCCTCAGCTTCCGGCTTTGTCCTCTTTCCCAAAACTGCTCTGCCTGAGAACGAGCTGGCTCTCCTCTCCCAGCTGCCCTCTCCCACCTCAGAGCAGAAAGACGCGTTCCTGCCTTATTTCCCCGTCTCTGGGTAGCACGTTCTCCACGCATAAACGGAGGGACCCCTGGAATTTTGGTGTTGGTGTGGAGAAGAGGGTAGGACGCGTACTGCTCACTGTTGGGCACAAACCCTCTAGCAGTTCAGGTGCCGTCCTGTCCTTTGAATCAGCCTGGCAGCAGAGAGATCTTTTCATTTTCCATGATGGACCAGTCTGGGATTTCGGGCTCGTAACTCGGAAAGAGTTCAGAGAACAAAATGACAGTATTATAACAAAATATCTGTTTTTTTTCCCCCCCGTCTTGTGTTTACAAAAAAGAAAAGAGAGACTAGAAATAAATTGATGCTTAACTATCTTTGTCTAGTAATGATTACTTAATATCTATCTACAGATATAGAAAAGAATTGAGAAATGAGAAAAATCCTCATCCATAAAAATATGCATTTCTGAGAATATTTTACTTTTTAATGTTTAATAATTATAAAATGCTGGATTATATTTTTTTGTTGTCATGTCTCTGTTCTCTACCATGAATAGCTGTAATGGTAACTCGAGCCTGGAAATTGTTATTTAAGCGGTTAGCGCCCTAGGCTCAAATTAAATTCAGATGTTTTTAGATATTTATATTGAAGAGAGGTATGATAAAGAAATCAATAACAGACTTTCTAGCTTCAAATACGAGCTGCTCTAGGATAAATTCTGTGGAGAAATGGAATCGAAATACAAGTCAGAGAAAAAGGGATGATGTGATTTTTTTTCACTTTTGAAGAAGAGCTTGCCTGTGCATTTTACTGTGTGTACATTAGTGCATGCAACATAAAGGCACAGCTTACGTTACGTGTATCTTTATGTGGTTAATGGTGGGAGTCAATTCCCTCTTCTGTTTAGATACATATATATGAATGACCGACCAAACGGTTTTGTTTAACTACATCAATATTCGTATGCCAGACATTATATCTTTTGCAGCTCCATCAACTTAGATGAAAGCATTTTAAATGTCAATTTCAAAACGAGTGATTGGAAGGGTACCTGGTTTTTCAAAATTTTTATAGAGGGTACACACGTAGAAAGTTTTCTGTGCCGGGCTGTCTTCATGCCTCTGACCAGGCGTTGGGTGTCTGGTTGCTCTTTTAGGCTGAAAACCACTGTAAAATTTCCATAGCAAAAGGCAGAAGAACAAAAGGAACCAAACAAAAACAGTGTAATAGTTCAGGATGTGTAAGGATGGATTCGAGAGCACCGAAACACGAACATTTAAGATGTGCTTTCCTTAAAAATCGTCAGACCTGCATATTGTGTTCACTTAACTGTGAGGGAATAAAATAGTTCTACTTCTGATTTTCAAAGTAGTTGGTAGAAAAAAGAGAGATTCTGAAAGTTCCTTGTGTGTATTTATCAGAAAATGAGTAATTTACTTTTCTAAAATTGACCTTGAAAATGAGCTAGTGGCATGAATGAACTCCTGGCAGGTCACCAGATACTCAGAGAAAAGAGAAAAACATGATGTAGGACACAGCCGGGACTCAAACCCAGGAAATTTCGGTGGCATTGATGACTAGAAGCATTCTCATAAATAATTCTCCAAACTAGGGAAAGGCAGTAGCATCCAAGTGGCCTCAGCTGTAATAATTGCTTGTACTTATCAGGGAGTAATTTATATTTAATATAGACAACCTAAAAAAAAAATATATATATATATATATAGAGAGAGAGAGAGAGACCAAAGATAGAGTAGCTAGGATGAGAGAGAGAGAGAGCGAGAGAGAGAGAGAGAGCGCGCGAGCGAGCATGCGCACGCGTGTGAGTGCATGCACGACAGTGGTTCCTAGTTGAAGGCGGTTTTGACCCCCGCCCAGGGGACATTTGGCATGCTCGGTTGTCACAACTGGTACCTAATGGGTAGAGGTCAGGAGTGTTGCTAAACACCGCACGATGCACAGGACAGCCCCCGCCTCCCGCCCCCAACCACAAAGCACCATCGAGATCCAAGTGTCAGTAATGCCAAGCTGAGAAATCCAGGTCTAGAGAATTCTGATGTGTCAGCTTCTAGGCACAGAGTGGAATGTATAAAAATTCAGATGTTTTTAAAGGTAAAAAAAAAAAGAAGAAGAAGAAGAAGAAAGCCCTCTTGCCTCTCCCCCTTGCTCCTGGGAGGTCACCTGTTAGCTGTTACCTCTGAGCCTGATCCTCGGAGAACATTTATTCTGCACTTAATGCAGTGTCGGGACAGTCAAACGTGTCACAGTGTCTGTATCTTAAAGGTTCTGCTTCTGGAACACAGCTCTCGGATGCTTTGAGGAAATACCTTGCAAAAGGGAAAAGTGGCCACCAGGCAGTGGACTGGGGTTCCGGGGCGCCTCGCCCAGATGTAACCTGCGTTTACTGTCAGTCGTGCATACATTTATGTACATGTCGTATGCACATCGAAATGCACGTGGAATATCCTGACAGTTTATACAAGATACAATTTTTGCGTTTATACAAGATGCAATTGTGCACTGAAACAGTGTTTCTTTCTGTAAGATTCCTGGGACAAGGGTCATGTGCATTTTAAACGTTCTTAGCAGTATATTTCACAGTTTGTTTTTCTCATTAGCAGGCCCTTCGAAGTGTGAATCATGTCTCCTTAGATGACTCTTAAAATCCATTTGCCTGTTTGTCTCTTGACTCCTTAAATCACTCCCCAAGTCTCCTAATCATTGTCTTTCTCTTCTGAGTACCCACGTCTGGCCTTGGTTTCTGCCTGAGGCATGAACTTAATGGAGGGAAATGTTACCATTAAAAAAAAAAAAATAGTCATGATTCCCTATTAGAGTCCCAGAGTTATACGACTCTAAAGCTGGAAGAGATGTGAGGTGGTTATGACAACTAATATTTATTGAGTCCTTCCTTACTACGTCCAGGGCAGTCTGCCCAGCACTCTGTGGTCATCTACTTTAATTTTCATAAAGCTCTGTGAGGTGTGTGCCAGGTACTGTTATTTACTCCCACTTTGCAGATGAGGAAACTGAGGCACTGCCCAGGATCACGCAGTGAGCAGAGCCAGGATTTGAACCCGTAGTCTGATTGTAGAGCACCCACTCTTAAACCACAGTGCCTTCTGGCCGATGTCTGGTCCAGCCGCCTTTATTTACAGACAGAAAACAAATCCAGAGAGAGTAAATGACTTATCCAGGATTGAAAACTGCCGGTTGGGGGCAGAGAGGGGGCCAAACCCAGATGAGAAGTCAGGGACTGCCAGTGTTTAGCTGTGTGACCTTGGGCATCCTTAGTCTTCTTGAATCTGCATATTTCAAGGGATGAGTTCCAGCAAGAGTTAGCATAGATCTTTTTGTTGAAAGGCAAATATGAAGTTAGTTTTTTGCTTCGCCTGCTCACCTATATGATATACACATGCAATTGAATATCTATCCATCTGAGTGAGAAGCAGCCCTCGACCCCAAAGTAAATATTATATCCAGAGTCATCATCTTAATTTTCTTTGCTCTGGTTCTGATGTCTCTTTTTTGGTGAGGCTTGAACTAATGAGGGATCTCTAAATCAATATACATTCTCTCAAGGAAGAAGCACTTGTGCAGCATAAATAAGACCGTGAAACTGCAGAAGAGAAACACAGCCTACCAATCAAGAAGCTTACTTCGAGGCATGAAAAGGCAATTTAATATCTATTATTTAATCCCATAGGGAAGCTGG